TAATTGTAAATTACCCAGAATTGGAGCATTAACACTTAATAGGTTTCTGATTTAAAATTGGTCTAGTGGGCTACAAATTTGCGTGTATATATTGTTCATCTTTTGAGGGTTAAAGTAAAGTTTATTAAAATTTATTAAAATTTACACTATTTACACTTCTAATTCAATCAGCCAGTGTATTTATGCATTTATATTTATTATATATAAATTTGCTCTACCGTTGAGTTAATTATTTTTTTTTTATATTCAATTAATAGAAAGATTACATTATATATATATGTAAAAACTAAATAGTAAACAAGTAAAAATAAAACATAAAAAAGAGTATCAAGATACTCTGATTCTTTAAAGCTAGAGATTAGTCCTGATATAATAAAACTCCTAATAAAATATGACAAGATTAAATAGTAGAAGTATTTAAAAACCCGTTTTTTTGAGGGTAACTTAGGTAGAGCATTTAAAAGTATTTTACCGTAGTCAGAATTAACGTACTTAAGTTTAGAAAGAATATATACCGTTATTACTAGTAGTATAAAGGCAAATAAGATTTGAGACATAAAATAAAAGGGTACTAATTGAGGCATTTTAATCGTTAATCTAATTAATTTGTTTTATTTATATCGCTTAATTAAGGTACTTCATATGGATTAGTGTAAATATAAAGCATCTTTATAGATATTTGTCACTACTAGAAATACTTGGGCCAGTATGAAAGCAATACCTTGACCCATTGATCAATCATTACCAACTATTTTATTATAGTTGGTGGCTAATAAATTTAAGGAAATTATCAGGAATGTACCTGTCACTAGGTATAATCCGATGTTAATTAAAGATAATTGTAAATTACCCAGAATTGGAGCATTAACACTTAATAGGTTTCTGATTTAAAATTGGTCTAGTGGGCTACAAATTTGCGTGTATATATTGTTCATCTTTTGAGGGTTAAAGTAAAGTTTATTAAAATTTATTAAAATTTACACTATTTACACTTCTAATTCAATCAGCCAGTGTATTTATGCATTTATATTTATTATATATAAATTTGCTCTACCGTTGAGTTAATTATTTTTTTTTTATATTCAATTAATAGAAAGATTACATTATATATATATGTAAAAACTAAATAGTAAACAAGTAAAAATAAAACATAAAAAAGAGTATCAAGATACTCTGATTCTTTAAAGCTAGAGATTAGTCCTGATATAATAAAACTCCTAATAAAATATGACAAGATTAAATAGTAGAAGTATTTAAAAACCCGTTTTTTTGAGGGTAACTTAGGTAGAGCATTTAAAAGTATTTTACCGTAGTCAGAATTAACGTACTTAAGTTTAGAAAGAATATATACCGTTATTACTAGTAGTATAAAGGCAAATAAGATTTGAGACATAAAATAAAAGGGTACTAATTGAGGCATTTTAATCGTTAATCTAATTAATTTGTTTTATTTATATCGCTTAATTAAGGTACTTCATATGGATTAGTGTAAATATAAAGCATCTTTATAGATATTTGTCACTACTAGAAATACTTGGGCCAGTATGAAAGCAATACCTTGACCCATTGATCAATCATTACCAACTATTTTATTATAGTTGGTGGCTAATAAATTTAAGGAAATTATCAGGAATGTACCTGTCACTAGGTATAATCCGATGTTAATTAAAGATAATTGTAAATTACCCAGAATTGGAGCATTAACACTTAATAGGTTTCTGATTTAAAATTGGTCTAGTGGGCTACAAATTTGCGTGTATATATTGTTCATCTTTTGAGGGTTAAAGTAAAGTTTATTAAAATTTACTAAATAGAGTAAGTAGAATAAAAAAGAAATAAATAAAAAAACACGAAATAGAGTAAGTAGACTAAAAAAAAAGAAACAAATAAAAAAAAATAAACTAAATAGATGAATAAAAATAAATAAAAATACAATATTACATAATAAGATAAAGATGAAATTAATCACTATCCTCATCATCATCATTATTATCGTCACTATTTGATTTATATTCATCCGATTCTACAGGTGACATTGGTTTTATATGTTCCAAACAACTAGCTAGCTCTTTTCCACTAATTCTTTTAAATCTTTAGTGTTTTTTCCAATTTCTATTTGCATTGATTCAACGTGTCTATCTAAGTCCTCTAATTCTTTTTTTTT